CTGCGGGGGGCCGTGGTGCTCCCCTGCGTGTAGTGGCTGCAGACAGAGCCGCTGCATTTGGAGGGGCAGCGGGGGCTGCACTCGCGGGGGTCAGGGAAGGAGTAGTGCTGCTTCTCCTGGTGCCACGATTTCACCATGTCCATCACGGAGCGGTACCTGCAAAAGGTGCTGCACCTAAGGTGGACCTCCTCCATCTCAGAGGTCATGGGCGAAGGAGAGGAGGAGGAGGAAGGCTCCACGTTGAGGGAATGGGGGAGAGAAGTGGGTTGGAGCCAGGGCCTGTTGGGACCTGTTGCCTGCTGTAGGTGACCCTGCTTCATCAGGAGGGTTGGACTAGACGACCCACAGAGGTCCCTTCCAACCCCTACTATTCTGTGATTCTGTGACCAAGCGTTCCTGGGGAGAAGGGGGCAATGACATCCTCGTGCCCAAGCCAGAAGACCTGGCTCTCACCGGAGGCACCTGAGCACTTGGCTGCACGGTGGAGATCCAGGACCCGCATCCCCCTGGTCTGTGTGCCAGTCCAAGAGGGGATTGATGCCATAGCCCCCAAATGAACAGCGGACACCTCTGGTTTCCCATATTTACCCTGCTGCAAGTGTTGGACCCTCCTCTTCCTCACTGGGAAGGCTCAATGTGCCTCTCGGTTGCATCTCAGTCCTCTGAAACCCCAGCTCAGAGCCTCTCTGCTCCTGGACCGAGAGGCTGCTCCTCCTACTCCAGCATCGTGGGGTGCGGAGGGTCCCCGGAGCCCGCTCTGCCCACAGGGCACTCACCTGCCCGAGTGGATGGAGAGGTTCTGCCCCACGTATTTCATCAGCTGGGGGGGCCCATGGTCCCCCCGCGCCCCAGGCCTCTGCTGCCCTGCCCAGCCGCTCGTCCCACACCTGGCCAGGGGGAAAGGACAAGGGCAGGCAGGGATTTTGGCTGCCCAGAGGAGGGAAGAGGAGAAACCCATTCCCTTGTGCTCAGGGGGCTTTCTGAGCACCCACGGGTGTCCAAAAGACACAGCTCGCACATCAGGGTGGAAAAAGCCCAGAAGAAGCACGGCAGCGTGTCCAGGAGCGATGAACCACCCCAGCTGCCCACCGTGCACGTCGGGTGCCCGCTGCCCAGGCAGAGGACGGATGCCCTGAACAGTGCAAGCCCTGTCTGCATGATTCCCTCCAGGAACGAGTTCCTTCTGCAGAAGGTGGAGCTGAATCTAGGGGTGAAACCCCACAGCCCTGCGCTGCTGCTGCAGCTCGCAGCTGCCCCTGGCCCTTCACCACAGCCCTGGCCGCAGACTAACTGGTGAGGACAGCCGGTTCATTCATGCATGATTTAAAGGTTCCTCACCCAACCTGAACCACTTTGGGGAGATGCCTGGGGGAGTTATTTTGGAAGGCAGGAATTTAGGCCGAGCAAGAAGTGGCGCAGGATGCTCCCAGGCATGTCTGACCTTCTCTGGTACCCAGCAAGCCAGGCAGCTACCTGTCTCTCGCAAACCAGCATCCAGGGACCACCCAGCTGCTCTGTCAGAGCTCCAGTCCCCTCCCTGGGACCAGGGCAGCATGTGGCATCTCCTGCCCCGAGGGTCCTAGTCTGTGCCAGCTGGAAACCCCTCCTCTTGGTGGCTCCACACTTCTCCTCCCTTTAGGGCTGGGTTAGGAGCTCCAAGCAGCGTGGAGACAACGTGGGGAAAGCTCTGCCCAGGGTGGCCCTCGTCCGGAGGACGTGCCTGACCTGGTGAGGCTGCACAGCCCCTCTCTGACCCACTCCTGCCTGTTTCTTCTCCCTGGGACTGGCACCCCTGTGCACACTCCTGAGTGACCCTGGAGCTTGGGATGGGGCTGTCCCTCCCGGCTGCAGTCAGGGGAGAGGCTCCCACCCGGGCTCTGGGTTGGGACCTGAGCTTTTCATGCTTGTAGCCATCTCCTTCCCCCTAATACTACCTCTGCAGCTTGGCTGGATGGATCCTGTCACCCTGTCACAGCCTGCAAGCTCCCAGGCATCCCAGGCACGGGACCAGGGCTCCTAAATCTGCCCCTGGGTGGAAACATTGCCCCGTTGGGACTCCATCCCTCCTGTGCAGGAGGTCTGCCCTGCACCAGGGACGGGAATGTCCCCCGGGACAGACACTCGGCTGCGAATCCGGGGCAGCACCCTGTCATCCCCATCTGTGGGTGTCCTGTCCCTCCCAGGTTGGGCACCCACGTCACAGGTGAGCCCCTCAACCCCACCGCAGCAGC